GATATTTCCTTGTCTAATATCAGTTTACTGTAGATAGATTGGTCCATTTCTGGCTTCTCCATTTTATTCCACTGATCTGTGTGCCTGTCATTGTACCAGTACCATGCTGGTTTGGTTACTACTGCTGTGTAGTAAGTTATGAGGGCAGGAAGTACTATGCTTCCCACTTAATTTTTGTTTTTCAGAAGTGCTTTGCTTATTCGGGGTCTCTTTCTTCTCCAAATAAACTTGGCAATTTCCCTTTTCATCTCCCTGAAAAATGAATTTGGTATCTGTATTGGGATTGCACTGAACATGTAGATTGCTTTTGGTAGGATTGTACTAAGGAGGAAGGGCTCTTTAAAAGGAGTAACATAAACAAGATACCTAAATGGTTTAAGGTAAATTGGACAATCATTCTAAAACCAGTAAGACTTGACAAAATCTAAACATGTAAGGTCCGGAGTTGGGTTTGGGTTTTATATTTTGTGTATTTTAGTCCTCCACATAGGAATACTTATCCTTAATGAGAAAGAACTATTACAGTTTTCTTAGTATTATTAACTAAAGAGAAAATAGTAAAAATTATAAAAGATCTACCTATATTTATCAGGTTTGTTCTCTAAATGAGAAAATATACTAAAGAAAGAATTTCTAATGGAAAAATACCAAACCAAAACAAAAATTGTAAAAGATGGTGGTTTTTATTAGGTGCTGTCAAGTTGACTATATAGCTCACAGTGACCCTGTGAAAAACAGATCTGAAATTTGCCCTATCCTGTGTCATCCTCATTATCTTTGATATGTTCAAACCCATTGTTACCGTTGCTATGTCATTTCTTCTTGTTGAGGGTCTTCCTCTCTTTCTCTAACCCTTCGCCTTTTTCAGCATGGTGCCTTTTTCCAAGGATTGGCCCTCCTGACAACAAGCCCAAAGTATGTGAGAGGAAGTGCCATCATCCTTGCCTCTAAAGAGCACCCTGGTTACACCTCTTCCCACACAGGCTTGCTTATTCTCTGTTACTCCATGATTATTCTGTACTCTTCACCTTGAAAAAATTGAAAATACAGTGACTTAATTAGGCATTATTTGCATGACAACAGTCCAGAATAAGAAGTGCATAGCACAGTGGACTGGGGTGAGGGGGAGAAAATTGTCCAACAATGATTTTTAAAGAGAAAAGCAAACTGGGGGGTGGAGTAGGGAGGAAAATGTGTGACAGTGAATGAATGGAAATCCAGGTTTTCTGTAAACTTTTGTTAAAATCACAATAATTAATTTTTTAAAGAACATACAGTGGTTTGGATCAGGCTCACTTTAACTCTTTAGCACTTTGGAGAGGTACTTGACAGCACATTTTCTCATTGTAAATCATTGTTTAATTTTTTTACAGCTCTTAGGGAGGTCTGGTGGCATAACAGTAAAAAACTGCACTAAAATCCCAGAGGTGTATAGTTCAAGTTCAGCAGCTGCTCCACTGTAGAAGAATGGGAAGTCTCCTCCCGTGTGATTAACAGACTCTGAAAACCTGCTGGAGGGTCAGCTATGGGTCAGTTCCTACTCAGTAGCACACAACTGCTCTCACCGTGGGTGTTGATTGTGGATCAAAGTAAAATTAGATCACAAACAACTTCATTCCTTTCTCCATCTCTACTGATGTTGCTTAATGGTCCTGTGGTGAGGATTTCTGTTTTATTGATGTTACAATGTAATCCACATTGATAAGAATTAATTAATAATATGTAACCCACATTGAATTGATGTTGAGATGTAATCCATATTGAATCTTCGGGATCCTTTTCCCCACTGCTCTTTCATTTCTCTATTATAGAATCACAGAATTCCAAACCTAGAAAAAAATTTTAGACTTTATCCTCCTATTCTTCAAGCTGATAATATGGGTATATTCTTTTTGGTTTTGGTTTGGCTTTTATAATTATATATATTTTTTATTTTATAAAAATTTGCATACAAGATTTGTATACATTGTGTTTCATTCATGTACATTGTGCTTCATACATTCCTTCATTCACATTGTGTTTCATACAATCATTTATAAACACTGTATTTTAGAAAATCTGTCAATCATTGGTCTATGCCTACTGTTACTCCGTTGTTTCAGATTTGAATTAAATCTTTCCCATTTCTTCACCCTATCCCAAGCCCATCCATTCACTGAACTTGGGTATCCTAGTGATTTCCCTCCCTCCCCATTTTATACCCCCTTGTCCCCAGAAACCTAGGAGTAAAACCATAGAAGTCCTAAGAGACAAAATTGGGCCAAACTTAGAAGCACTAGCCTATAGCATAAATTGATTTGCAGATATTACCGAAATGCACAACCAAGAGAGGATAAAATCAACATATAGGACCATCTAAAAATTAAATCCTTGTGTACATCAAAAACTTTTCCCAGTAGGATGAAAAGAAAACCTATGGATAGGGAAACAAACATTTGACACTAACATCTTAGACATGAATCTCATCACGAAAATTTATAGAATACTACAGGCCCTCCACAAAAAAATACTGATAACCAGTCACAAAGTGGGTAAAAAGACATGAAGAGACTCTTCAGAAAGGAGGGCATTTGGATGGTCAACACACACATAAAGAAATGCTCAAACTGTCTGGCAATCAGAGAAATGCAAATAAACAACAATGAGATGCTGTCTCACCCCAGTGGCAGGAGTAGAGTTTAACAGGATATTTTTGTTATGTGCCATCAGGTCACCTGCCTCTCATAGTGACCCTATATACATTAGCTCTGAATCCTACCCTATCCTAAGCCAATCTCATCATAACCAACAGACCTAATCCCATTGTTCAGTCACTGAGTCAATCCATCTCATCCTGGGTCTTCCTCTCCTGTGCTGTCCCTCTGATCTTCTGAGGATAATGTCCCTCTCCAAGGACTGATCCTTCCTGGCCACATGCCCTAAGTATGTGAGACAGAACCTAAAAATCTTTGCCTCCAGGGTGCAGCCTAGTTATACCCTCTCCAAGACAGACCTGTTTATTCTCCTGGAAGTCCGTGCTATGTTCAACACTCTTCTCTAGCACCACAGTTCAAAGGCTTCTGTCCTCCTTCTGTCATCCTTAGTTATTGTCCAGCTCTTGGATGTATAGTAAATAATTGCAAAGACCACAGCTTGGATTAGGTGCACCTTAGTCTCTAGACTGACATCATTGCTATTCAGTACTCTGGAGAGGTCCATGACAGCCAGCTTTTCCAGTGCAGTTCATCCTTTGGTTTCCTGACTTCTGGTACCACAAGTGTTGATTTTAGAACCAAGCAATCTGAAGTTATCAACAATCTCAATCTCTTCTCCATCCATCATGAAGCTACCACTTGGCCTCGTAAAGAGAATCTTTATAAGCAATAAATATTGGGGAGGATGTGGAGAAATTGGAACTCTCATGAACTGCTAGTTGGACTTTAAAATGGTACAACCACTCTGGAAGGCAGTTTGACGTTTCAAAAAAAAACCAACTGAACATAGAGATTCCAGTGACCTCAATCCTAGAGATATATCCAAAGGAAAATAAAACTGAGATATAAACAGAGATTTGTACACCTAAGTTCATGGCTGCATTATTCACAATAGCAAGAAAGTGGAAGCAGCCAAAATGTCCATCAACAAATGAACGGATTGAGAAATTACAGTACACAGTGGAATTTTTTGTAGTACTCAGGAGCAACAATTCCATGCAATACTTAATACATAACATAGGAGAGTCTAAAGAACATTATGCTGAGTGAAATAAATCTCATAAGGACTAATACTGCATGTTACTGTTGCTGTTGTTGTAGATTGTCTTCAAGCCAAGCACAACTCATAATAACCCTATGAGCAAAAGGCCTGAAGCCTTTCTATAACTCTTGACATTTATCAAAGTTCGTGGAGTTTCTGAAGGCATGCTCTTTGGGAAGTGGATTCCACTCCTGCTTCCAAATACTGCATACAACCATTATTATAAAAATATGTAACTAGTAATATGTATATAAAAGTCCAAAAAGGGAAGAGGCTAGAGCCTTTGATTCAAATCTTTATTTTGGTCATCAGCCCCTCAAGCTTGTAAACATTACTTTCCTTAAGGAAAATAAATTTTAATTAGCAAAACTCAGCTAACTGTACATCTAAAATGTGTACATTTTATCTTATGTAAAGTAAAACAGTAAAAGAATTATTAAAAATTGAGATAAGCAAAACATAATAAACAGCATAATTACTAAAGAAGTAAATAACCAATTTAATAATTAAAAAAATATTACAAGCTGTACCCATCCAAGTACCAATTGAGAGTTACTGTTAAAAAATTTTCTCAGAGGAAGGAGCAGTCACTGTGAATGTATGTTGTTGTGTGCTGTCAAGGTGGAACTAACTCATAGGTATCCCTCCAGCGGGTTTTTAGAGGCAGTAAATCACAGGGGATTGCCCATCCTTCCCCCACCAAGCAGCTGGTAGATTTGAAGCCTTTGGGATGACAGTGCAGCTAGTGGTTATTATTCTGTATAGTATTTGGTTAGGTAGAAGGTAAGATTACAGCTAGTGAAAGTGGTTGACATGGGAACGAAATGCCTTCAGGGAAAGTATGAGGACCACACCACATAGTATATGTATATCTGAAATGCTAGCAGTCTTGAAAAATAATAACAGTGGTTGGAAAAGTTGAAGAAGACATAGTTAAGGTAGACTCCAGGGGTTGTAATTGCTTAATGCCAGAGGAAATGTTGAGCTTGATTGATTGGTAGAAGAAATATACTAACAGTAGAGAATAAAGAGCTACAGCCAATTTTTAAAGATAAGTTAAATTATTTTCTATTGGTTTTAAATTCTAAGTTTTATTTTTATGTCTAAACAAATTCATGAATATGCTACATGTGTTGTAGTGGTGTAATTATAAATTTAATCCTACTTCACAGCACAAAATGTAGTTATAAAAAAATTGTTTATTGTTACGAAGATACAACATTGCCATCCTTTGTCGGTATGTGTGTGGTTTTCTTCCTCCTTAGATTCCAGAAAGCTTAGTGCTATTGAACTTCAAGACTTGCTGGACTATGTGTCTTTAAAACATTCCTGTCTCAGAGATCTTCCTTGGAGACAGCCTCAGAAAGTGAATAGTATAGCCTTCGTGGAACTGGAGCGTCTGCAGCCTGACATACTGGTCCATGCAGTACTAAGAATTGTTGATATCATGATACTGACAGGCAAGCGTTTTTATTACTTTCTTTTAGATTTTAAAATAATTAAGATCCAAGACTTTTTTAGCATACCATTTATCAGTAGATACTTATCAGATAATAGAGTATGGTATCACATGTATTAATGCTATTTTTAAGTACTTCCCTTTTGCAGAAGAATTATATAATTATAGAGGACAGAAGCAAAGAAAAGTTGTGTTAACAGTGGAGCAGGTCCAAGGTCAACATTATGTGCTTGTTTTATGGGGTCCTGGAGCAGCCTGGTACCCTCAGCTTCAAAGGAAGAAAGGTAAATACATCAAAAACCCATTTTAACCTCTTATTTATATTTAGGTAAATGATTAATGCTTATGAACCTAAAATGAAGAGAATCTTAACAAATTAGACTTTATTTGAAATGTAAATGATCATGATCAAATATTCAATAAGTGAATTTATTTTATTATTATTATTATTCTGTACCCTCTGTAAGCAAGTCAGTGATCTAAAAAGCTCCATTTGTTAATAGTGGCACAATAAAAGCTTGCATCTATTCCCAGATAGCTTACCTTTTTAGGAAAGATATTATCTCCTTTAAATAAAGTTCTTTAAAAGTGAATTCTGAAGAAGAAATTTTCATGCTTACTTTTCAGTCATTAATAAGCTTCTCTCTGGTTATTAGGAGTTATTAGGTTATAGGGCAGTTATTAGGAGAATCAAGTTAACTCTTTCAAGTCCCAGTGTCAGTGTTTAATAAAATACTATGTTCCAGTTTTTTTAGTTCTTTTCCTTCATTTGTTTTGAAAGTCTAGATTATGATTTAATTATAGAATATTCATGTTTAAAATATGACCCATGATTAATTTATCTTCAAAGCATAGAGTAATAGTTTATGATATATTGCGTTAAATGGAATTGCTCTTTCACTAAAACAGTATAAATCTATATGACATTATGAGGTATCTTAGTTGTAGTAATTAGAAATAGTTTAGTGATTTATGAGTTCTTTTACTCTGCTAAATTAATTCAGAGACTGAGTGTGTGGCTCATTATTTTTCACATGAAGGAGTTAATGTCTCTTTGAGATTTCTGTCTGCAAAGTGATTATCTAAAGGTAGAATCTGTCACATGATCTCTTTAATCATTAAAAGCCTATAACTAGGGGCTGAGAGAAGTCTGGGTTTTGGCTTTTAAGTTAGGATTAAATAGTAATAGATGTTTGTTTGGTTGAGAAATCTGTCAAACATGTTCCACTAATAGAAGAATCGTGAACATTAACCACCATATGAGAGTGGGAACATGAGTCTACTGCATGTTGCACAAAGTATAGGTCAAAGGTATTGATTTTTTACAGTGGTGTTATTAGCAAAACAGATTATTGATTCACAGTTAATATGAATATTCTTTCAGCATTAGTAGTAATTAAGTTGTAATTATCTCTAGACAGTTCTGTGATATTTGACTTAATGTTGAAAACTTAGGAATCCAGGACTTGTTCTTTTATTCATTCCATCATTTGGCATCCATTTATTTATGCCCACCTTTTTAAAGTTTTAATATGCAGATGTCGGAACTCAGTATTTGAAGAACATTCTTTTTTAAAATGGGAGTATATCAATTTTAGAAAATTATTTTCTTTTCAGAAATTGTTAGTATCCTAATATTCATGTAATATGGCTTGAGGCATTTTTGTATTCACCTCTATGCTGGATACTGGTTCTACTTGCTCTTGAGGATAGAAAATTCACAGTTATGTGATTGTCTTAGTTATTTTAGTACATCTGTTCAACCTATATGCAGAACAGATCACTCAGGAGGCTGGGTTTTATGAAGGACACAACCTTGCTAGTCAAAACTGAGGAAGACCTGAAGTGTTTGCTTCAGAAGGTCAAGGACTGCATTCTTCAATATAGTTTGACACTCAACATCAAGAAGACAAAGCTTCTCACCACTGGGCAAATTGACAGAACCATGATAGATGGAGAAGAAATTGTGATTGTTAACATTTTCAGCTTGCTCAGCTCCACAGTCGGCACTTTTGCCACCAGCTGTCAGAGGTCAAGGTTATAGAGCACAAATATGCAACTTGAGCTTATGTCAGTGAGGGGGAGGACAGGTAAGGGAGCTGCACACACAGAAGTAGTTACTATAAAATAAATTCCACTAGGAAAGTCTGCTAGCAGAGACCTCTCCAGAGTGCTAAAAAACAACAATGTCAGTCTGGAGACTAAGGTGAGCATGATCCAGGCTATGGTCTTTGCAGTTGCTTGCTAAGCATCAGAGGGACAATGGACAAGGGATGTGAACAATGACTAAGGATGACAGAAGAAGAATCAATGCCTTTGACTTTTGGTACTAGAGAAGAGTATTGGAACATACAGTGGGCTGTCAAGAGAACAAACAAGTTTGACTTAGAGACGGTGAAACCAGGTTGTTCTTTGGAGGCAAGGATTTTGAAGCTCTGTCTCACTACTTTGAACGATTTCCTTGGAGGAAGGATGGAGGGACAGCATAAGAGAGGCATTGGATTGGTACAGTGACTGGAGTAATGGGAGTAGGTGTGTCTGAGACAGTGAGATAGGCCCAGGATAAGACAGAGTTCAGAGATGTTGTGTATAGAGTCTCAGAGTTGCAGTTGACTAGATGGCACATAACAAGACATGAGGGACTTTCACCAACAGAAATCTGAATTCAGAGCATTGGCTCTAGTAGAAGACGCTCCTCTTCTATTGTTTCTTAGAAGGTCCTTGTCTTCTTCACACGTTCTTTGTCTTCTTTCACGTTTCTTTGTTTCTTGGTGTTCTTCTTGTGGCTTGACATCGCTCTTTTTCCAGGAACTGATTGCTTCTGACTTTTCCCAACTATAAGAGATGAAGTTTCACCCTCTTACCTCCAGGGAGTGTCCTGGTTGCGGTTCCTCCTGGATAGATTTGTTTGTTCTTTTAGCAGTCCTCAGTGCTCTTCTTCAACACCACATTTAAAAACATTGATTCTTCTTCTGTCATCCTTATTTATCGTCCAACTACCAGAAACATAGGAAGCGATAGAAAAAACTTGGCTTGGATTACGCTTACCTTTGAACTGGCTCTTTTGCACTTTGGATAGGTCCTTGACATCTTTTAATTTCTTTGTTGCTGTTACCCTGAATGCTAATATAAATCCAAGTAAAATGGAATCATTGGCAACTTCCGTCCTTTCTTCATTATCATGTTACTGTTTACTGTAATCCAAAGAATAGATTGTTGTTGTTGTTATTGTTAAGTACCATCCAGTAAGAACTGACCCATCGCTCACCCTCCAGAATGATTTCAGAGGCAGTTACCCACATGGAAGCAGATTGCACATCTTTTTCCTGCAGAGCAGCTGACGTATTCACACCTCATACCTCTCGGTTAGCAGCTTAGTTCCTTACCATCAAGCCACCAGAGCTCCCTATGGAATAGATTAGAAAATTATTTCTAAACCTGGACACTGAGGACTTTTCATTAGAACTTGAACTCTATCCTGGCCAATTTAATAAGGGGGATATATTTGAAGTATACAGGAGAATCTCACAGTAGCTTTGGGCAAACATGCTGATGGGCTCAGGAAACCCTGGAACTAGGAACTGAAAAGGCCCAAATACCTAAGCACTGTTAAACAACAACAAAAACTTAATTGGCACAGATGTACTTTGCTTCTCGGAAGAATGAAAAGCAAAAGATGGTTGCTCCACAACTCCCAAGTTCATTTTTCCTTTGAAGAGATCTGTCCCATTTCCTGAATTCCCAAATTAGATCTATTTCAATCAGTTGTGGCCAAGAGGTCAAGGTTACAGAGCACAAATATGCAACTTGAGCATATGTCAGTGAGGGAGAGGACAGGTAAGGGAGCTGCACACACAGAAGTAGTTACTATAAAACATACGCATGACTGTTAATTTGGAGTAATCTATATGATATGTTATTTAATTTAAAAATACATCCTAAAACTTAAAGGATAATAAACATGTACCTGTAAGAATGTTTATACATTTTAAAAACCAGAAGTACAAATCCCTTTGGTGTGAATTTTATGTGTAAAACTTATCTATTCTTTAAAGCATTTGTTATGAAAAATTTCAATCACATACAAAACAGAATTGTGTTATGGGCTAAAGTATTCATTATTCAGTTTGTTAAAACATAATCATCTTCTTTCACCTCCTTTTTCTTTTACTTTCTGAGTATTTTACAGGAAATATATTTTAGAAATAAAAAAAAAAGGAAAAGAAAGCTTCCTTTGGAAAAAAGAAGGGTGTTGACTCAAGCATCCTTTGTGTTTTCCTATAATTAAAAAAAAAAGAGCTTGAGAAATAAGACAACAGAACCAGGGAGAGAGTGTGAATCTCAGAACTTACTATGGAAGGGTCAGAGGAAAAAAAAAATTAAATGTGTGTAAATATGTGTTCTTACTGAAGTAAATTTCTGATGTGTTAGAGACATTTTTAAAAAAAGAGAGAATGGTATTTTGCTGGATGAAAATATCAGCAGACTTAGTTGGGATGATAAGAGGTTTGACAGGAAAAATAATATAACAATGAAAACTATTTTTCATAAAATCTACCTTATACAAAATTAAAAGGCAAGTGATAAGCCAGAAAAAAAAGGTTCTCAAGTAATAAGACAAATATCTCAGAGGAAAAATTGGTAATGGATTTGAACAGGCAGGGAAGAAATAAATATAATCAGAAAAGATTAAACAAAACTTATGAGTAATTAAAGACAGAAATAAAATAGGTCGTTGATAGACTTTTTCTAAGAAATTATTAAATGAAGATATGTGATAACAGCTAATCATATAGACTATTAACTATAGATTAGAAGAGCCTATCTTGAAGACAGTTGGTAATCTTCATGGAAAGCCTTAAAATTTGGAATATTCTTTGGCTCAATAATTATATCTCTAGCAAATTATCATGTATAAAGATGTACCTAAAATTATATTTGCCACTGTACTTTTTCTAATAATGAAAAATAATGAATCTAAAATGTCCCCAGTAAAAGATTGTTACAATAATTTTTAATATTCTGGTATATTTATATAATGGCTTATTATTCACTATTTATAAATAATGTAGAATAATAGTTAATGGTATTTAAAAAATATGTTTGATTAAGAAAGTGGAAGTCAAAATATAAAAACAACTGTGTGAACATCCACTGAAAATGTTCACAGTATTTATTTAGAGATAATGGGATTGTGGGTATTAGTAATTTATTTAGCTTACCCATGATTTCTGAACATGTCTTTTGAAATAAGGAAATTATTCTAAAAAATAATGATTTTAAG